AAAAAAAAAAAAAAAAAAACCACAAGAAAAATATGAAAGTTGGAAAGAAAGATTAGAAACTCTTTAGAGAAAGAAAGGAGATAATTACACCTGAAACTTGGCAATCATATAGTTACTGCATTTCAGCCCTAAATTTGCCTCAGCTTCCTGAATCCCCAGGCTAGGTGGGTGGTCCATTGTTTACTCCTAAAACACTCTTTTTTAAAAAGACTCTTAGGCATGGAGATTATGACAGGAGGAAGGTTGGAATGTGGAAACCAACCCAAAGGAAAACTTGGACAAGTTTGAGAAAGACTCCCTGAGGCAGGTTTGTTTTTTTGTTTTTTGGGCTTTTTTTGTTTTGTTTTGTTTTGTTTTGTTTTGCTTTGTTTGATGGTGGGGATAGGGAGTTATTAAGGTAGGAAGTTGCTGAGCAGGAATGAGGAAAATCTGCAAACTGGAGAGGTCCTCAATATCAGACATCTTGCCAGGTAAAAATAATCCCCCAAAGAAAACAGCTGTGTGGAGAACATTCTGTGACACACAAAGCTATTTTCATGTCCCTGAAATACGTCTCTAGAAATAGTTCTTTGTTATCCCGCATACAATGCCATCTTCTGGTCCCAGCACTGCAACTGGAGCCCTGGCGATACTAAAGTGACCGATTGTCTGATGTTGAGCTACAGGTCAGGTGAAGGGAAAGGAAAATGACCTGAGGTTCCGGCCTCCCAAGAGTTTTTGCAACTAAGTTAGTTTTGCAATTAACTTTCTTTTCTTTCTTCCTTTTCAATGAAAGTACTAGGAATTGAACCCAGGACCCCCTGCATGCTAAGCATGCGCTCTACCACTGAGCTGTACCCAGCCCCTCCAAATAGCAATTAACTTTCAAAGCTCCGGCTCCACCCACTTCCCCTTGTCCAAATCTTAACCCTTCCGGGGTAAAACAAAAAACAAAAAAAATGCCCAAGTCATCCATAGCACAAGACTTGCTGAAAACGAAATTCTAGAGAAAGGAAGCAGTGGAGATAAAACCCATAGGTAATATCTCTTTCTATGATTATATTCAGATATTTGTTTCACTTGTTTACTTCACTTGGACTGTATTTAGAAGAACAGGAATATGTTCTTCAGTAATACTCCTTGTCTAATAAAACACCACAAATACATCAACTGAGGGATTCATTGTACTAGAATTTGATCAATTTGACTCGTTAGGAATAAGGCTTTTTTTGTTGAGTAACAAATAAACAAAAAGACAGTCTAAAGCAAAACAAGAAGGGGAAAAGTCCACTTGGATACTTTGATTAATTTTCAGATTACTCATATTCCCCTCCAGTAGCACAAAATAATCCCAAATTGATTACTTTGGATTTTGCTGCCTATCTTTACCATTTTTTCTATTTAAAATTTAAAAAAATTCTCTGTATGTACTCACAAATGTACATATTATACATACTTTTACATAAATGGATACATATGATCATATGGATAAAATTATGGCCTTTTTTCTTTTTTGGTTAGATCACACCCCATCCTCCCTCCTTTCCCCCATGGTGAATTAGCTTTCTTATGGATATCTTTTTATATATTTCTCTGATCTATAAAACATAAGCCTTTGTCTTTGTTCTCTGCATTCTGTAGCTTGCTTTTATCACTCAACAATATCTTTGGGATACCTCCAAGCCGGTGGTATGGCACTAAAACAAACTTTTAATGGCTGCATGATATTCACTGTATGGATAACTGTTTATTCAATCACTTCCCAACTCGTGGGCATGGACTCTGATTCTGGTTTCCTTCCCATGCTGAATAATGATGCAGCGGACATTGTGTGTGTATGAATTCCCAGGTACTGATGTGCATACCTCTATGGCGTGGATTTCCAGGAGTGAGGTGTTTGGATTGAAGGATCTCATTTCAGTGGAGAGGATGATTGAAGTCTCAAAGGGAGGTCTTGGCCACTCAACAGATCATACCTACTAATATTCGCACTACTTACCTTCCACTTTCAATTCCATCGCTGCCTCCTCTTGGTAAGAATGATCTCGGAAGAAGCAAGTGAAACCTCCTTCATCTGAGAACCTGACTTTTCGGATCCTGAGGGTCACCTTCCCCTCCCCGATGGTCTCTTTCAGCAGCTCTGTGCGGCCCCGGTATTCAGGCGCCTGCTCTTCATCTTGGTCCTTGCCACTTCGGTAGAGATGAACCACCCTGGAGAATGGGGGCCGGTACCACCCCACCTCCATGCCTGTAGCATTCTTTCCTGGAGATATGCGACAGGGCAGTTCTGCTTCATCCCCCACCAGAGCTCGGATGGGATGCCCTGGTCCGATTACTCTGAACTGTCCTGTCCAATACGCCAAAGAAAAGAAACTGGGCATCAGAGGAAACCTTGACAAACAAGCATGTCGTGGGAAGGGTTGCTTCCAAATAGGGAAAGAAGACACTTGATCAAAACAGGGCAAGAAGAAGACACTTGATTTTTAAACAGGATTTGGGGGGGGGCGGAGAGGTAATTAGTTTTATTTATTGAATTACCTTTTTAATGAAGGTGCTGGGGATTGAACCCAGGACCTCATGCATGCTCAGCATGCGCTCTG